GGGGGGGGTGTTGTGCATGCATGTGCATGTGGGGGCACACTTTGCATTATGGATACTGGCACACACACTATCGTGCGTACACGCATGCATTTTTGGCACCCAACAACAAAAAAGGTTAGCCATTGTTGTCCTAGAATGCAGGTAGTCCTCGACTTACAACTGCAATTGAGCCCAACATTTCTGTCGCTAAATGAGACAGTTGTTAAGTGCGACCCTCCCGAGCTCCATTTCTGCTGGCAGAGACACTGTGGGCCGATCCTTTGTTGTTTCCAGAGTGGCCCCACAGCCAGATCTAAGCAGCCTTGAGTTTGACACCCCAGCTGTAGACGGACAGCAAAATTTTGGAATAAGTCGAGAAGCTCTCAGATTCACACTCTTATTTGCTGCCAGTGGTTGAGTTTAATATATGTAACAGAACTCAATTAAACCCCCAATAAAACAAAACATCCTTTAAACATCATTAATCATGTCTTTCTTATGAATTGGAATGGAGCTATCTGCCAAAGGCATTTCCAGTTGGAAACCCGGAGAATTAAAAAAAGCCTTTAATAGTCTGTAATAGCTTTTTTCTTTTTATTTAGTTCCTATGTTTGTTAAATTAAATGAACAAAAAGATCACATAATCAGACAAGAAGAAAGCAAATAATTAGCTAAGCATGAAGGCAAGAATAAAAGATAAAAAATGCAGCATGTCTACAAAAGCGAAAACCAATTCTGCATGAATGTGTGTGTGTACATGTATAAATATTCAGCTTTTGAAGTACTTTTTCAGAAAAAAAACCTTGGAATTTTTCAATAGTCTTATGCTGTCCCCCCACCCCCATTTTCTGCACTGTTTATTAAGAACTAGGGGAAAGGGTGACTTTTAAAGTGGGAGGATCGGTGGGCTTGATCTTGGCCATTGACAATTAACCATTAATTCTTTGAAATTAGGCCATCTCTCGCCTGAAGCAGTCAGGTGGAAAAAAACACCAACTCAACCACCCTGAGAAAAATACATTCCAATTCATTACCTGGTTTTTAATTAACCTGAATTTAGAACAGGCAGATTGGGGTAGGCAGATGAAAGATTCCTTGACTGAATAACATCCTGTTAAATGTTCTCTCAAAATAAGTGGGAGGGGTTTTTGTCCTGTTCCAGGGGTGGGTTCCTGCCAGTTCTAACCTCTTCTATAGAAGAGGTTCCACAAATCTACAGTGC